GACATGAATATGGCATTAAATGTTTATTAGAAATAGTCAAAGAATTTGTGTAATTTATATGAGTGCTTTCTGTATAACAATACTTGCACTGAAGAAAATGACAAATATATAGAGTAAGAAAAATGACTTTTTGCACTCATTATTGATGTAGCTTGTGAAATCAGCACTTTTGCCTGCAGTCATTCACTGTTGTTTGCATTTCTTTGAATGTAGGTGAACTCAGGGGTGACTATGTAAATTTTAAATTTCCATTAAAAATTATTTTACTTCTGTCAAACAGGCTGCCTGGTTTTATGTGTGAGAAACCTCCAATGTGTCTCTGATTAGGTCCAATCAGGTCTAAATGTTTCAGTTTGCTTTTTCAAAATCAACTAAACAGAAAGTCAAACTAAAACATGTAATTTCTTGTAATATATGTGCACTTTACCTTTAACAGCCAAATGTTAGATATGTTTAAACTATTAGACAGGAGTGTAAAGGTTCAAACCCAGACGTGAGCAGCTCACTTACCATGGGAACAGGGCAGCACTCTCAGCTTATCTCCCTCTTCATATTCATCAAGGCAGATTGCACACACATCATAATTATCGCCTGAGAAAAATATGCAATTATTAAAGTGCTAGATGATCCAGTAGAACAGTCTTGCTCACAATCAGAACCCACTCTGAACTCAGCGATCGGTGAGTTTTCTTTGTTTGACCATGTGGTTTATGCCAGTGTTATTTCAGCACCATTGAGATACTGTTATGTTAATATTTTGAATTAGATGTCATTTTTTATTTTTTTATTTAATGTTAATTGTAGTTACAGTTTTAGTAATTTTGCTGTATGTTTTTGTGATTCTATTTTTATTGATTTTAAATGTATATTAGTTTTTATTAATTTTATTTCAGTTTTAGTTATAATTATTTTATAACACAAAATTCAACAAAATGAAAATGTAAAATGTTGCTATGGAAACTAGCTGAAATGAAATAAGTTTTAAGTTTTTTAATATTTTCTTTCAGTTGACATTTATTTTATTTCAAGTAACAAAAATGATTTTTATGCGTTTAGTTTTAGTTAGCAATAATAACTCTGGTATATGCGCGTACTACTCCTGCGCGTAATATTTCAGTGCTGTTATCATCTTTAGACCACCCAAACATGATGATTTCATGAAAAAAAATATATCACTATATCAATGATTTACAACAAGCAGTTGTGATGAATTTCTCTGACATATCTTTGCCTTGTAACTTGACTATATTTTGGACTTGATTGTCAGTACATATTGCATTTTAGTAAATGTGTTAGTTTTTGTTGGCGGAGTCAAGAATATTTCCTGTGGTAAATAAAGGCACACCACAGATGCGGTCCATAGAGTTTATGATTTTTGACTTTCATGAGCTGTAAGCTCTAATCATCCAAATTAAAACAAAAAAAACTTTTACAATGTTATACTTTACATGTAATGAATCTAGAAGATATGAAAATGCCACTTTTTGAAATAAGTTACAAAAAAACTTTTTCACGATATTCTAATTTTTTGAGATGCACCTGTATATCGCATATCATACTATCATTACAATATGTGTGAAAAAAATAATGTTATAGACACCTGTACTTTCATGCATGAATCTTGTGTAAATCCACAATGATATTTATAAAGCAGCACTGACCAGTATGACGACCATGATAATGATGATCATGCCAACAACTCCAGTGAAGGGGATGAGATAGTAGGTCAGAGGGAAGGAGAACTCAGGCTTTAGAATCACGTAAGCCCTAAAGCAGAGTGGGTCAACAAACAAAGTTATGCATACAACCTTAAAAACATAAAACAACCTTTATAACAAACTTTGCCCTGAAAGATGGTAAGCTGAACAAAGTAATTCAAGTTTATCACAATGCTCTCTGATTGAAATTAGAGTTGTACACAAATTTAAATTGTGCTTAAGCATGATATTTTGTTACAAATTACAACAACAAAAAAAAAAAATTCATTGAAATTCCTCCTATACTGCTTACAAGAGCATTCAAAAAAGACATTACCAGAAGCTGAGCGAGTAGTTCTGTAAACTGTTCTGTATTTTAGAATTTGAATATTCTATATGACAGTTTATGACCGTTTTCATTTGTTGACTATTTTAGGTCGCTACATAATTTCCACATGTCCAAATGTATTTTTTATTTTTTTTATTTCATAGCTTTGATCACTTACTACTGGTATTATACTAAAATTATAGAAAATATTAATTATAGTGGAGTACACTCAGAAAAAAAGGTACAAAATCTGTCATTAGGACAGCACCTTTTCAAAACATACTAATATACCATTTAGGTACTAAAATATACTTCTTAAAGTAACTTTGAGGTATTAAAATGCTCCCTTTATGGGTAAATAAGGTACAAAGGTGTACCTTTTGAAAAGGTTACTGCCTCAGTGACAGCTTTTGCACCTTTTTTTCTGAGAACATAAGTGTATACACAAATGACTGGTTCTGCTCATATATCTATCAATGTTCCATTTTGTGTAAGAATGTATGTAGACTATATTATTCTCACCCTTTCTCTGGTATGATAAAGCTGCGCAGTATCTGAGAGGCATAGTAGCTTGTGAACACAGAAGGAATCTCGATCTCCTCCGCAATGGTGTCTAAACAAAAACAAAATCGACAAAAAATGGACTGTATTGCAAATATGATAAAGTATGTAAAAGTCTTACAACAAATGTCTTAAACCCCTTTTCAACAGGGGATCAACTGTACTGAAATTTGCAAAATTACAAAAATTCCATAGATGGACTTCAAACATTCTATACATCCACCACTGCTTATATGTTCACTTATTAAACTTTTTTAGATTTTTTTTCAGTTACCAAAAAGACTGTAGTATGTTGATTACTTGTATACAACAAACCTATGAAGATGCACAGTTGTTATTTTTCCATAATTTCTCAAAAGAATGGGTGTGTGTCAATCTCACCATTGCTGTATCCCATACTGAGAAGTGAATTAGAGTACATGTTGTGAACTATGGCTGCACTGAAACCGGCCTGCTGTGCATGGAGCACCTATGAGACAAAAACAAAAAAACAATATTGCTCACATATTCTGTTATTCATTGTACATTAAACATACCTGTGACCATACAAAGTCACTAACATTGTGATAGCCTTGACACTGGATAACATACCCTTATGAAAAAGAACTGTGCTTCAATGTATTGAATGTGCACTTTTTTTTTTTTTTATACATTTATTTTATTTTGTAAATTTACTTTCATGACTGTTTCTTTACACACTTAATTACTCTTAAAAATTGCTCTTTGTAATAATGTCAAATTGAAAGTTTTGCTTTTTAATCATTATGTTTGAATAATCTTTAGTCATGCTTCAAAGTACACTTATTTTGATGTGTTGACTAACTATACTAAATCTTACTAATATACTAAACTTGACGTTACATTTAAAGTTAATATGTTTTAAATGAACTACATTGTGTTTTTGACTTTATCATTACAAATGTATAATTACAAATATATTTAAATGCATGACAAGTTTCAATTGAGTCAACATATTCTGTTACACCAAATACACAAAATAATGACCTTTAAAATAGCATCATATGACCCCTTTAAAGTAGTTTAGTTTACCATAAATGCTTGTCAGTATATTAGGCAGCAACCATATTTCCAAGACAATAGAAGTACTTATGAAATTACACAAATATGCACTTAAGTCCTACTTAAGTGAGTCAGAAAGCATGGACTAAGTGGACGAAACCATTACATTTACGTCACACTTAAGTATATTCTTTTAAAGTATATTATTTCCATAATAAGTATGTAGTCATAAGTATTTTATAAGCATGCCAAATTGTACTTGTTTTTTCACACTTTTGTCACATGCTTTTTTAGTTGTATATATATTCTTGTCAGTTGACCATATTACTTTACACTTCAACTTTTATAGCCCGTATTTTGTTATCTATTGGAATAGCACAGCTGTGCAAGAACATTAACCTTGATATCAAAGTTACAGTCATAGCGTCGAATAAGGACAATGTATTTTGTAGTGCTGTTGGGATCGGAGGGTGTGGGAGAAACTGGAGGAGGATCTATAGGTGTGCAAGCATTTTGAGGATGAGCTTCAACCAGCACACCCTGGAAGAGAAAGAACAAAATAAAGAGAAGTTAGTCACTCATATGCAGTTACTTAATTTACTGGCCAAAACTACAAGTCTAGCAGTAGAGATTCATTACCATGAGTCCATCTTTTGGCAGAGTAGGGCCAAAGAGAGCAGGCAGATCCTCAAATAGCATGGAGGTCATGTTACTGTAATGCTGCATGGAATAGAAAATAGGCCATTAGCAGCTGCAGCATAAAGCCATTATAAAGCAATCAATTGCTTCACATTATAAAATTTATATTGACTGTTGAAAGGTAAAGTGTGTAGATTTGGTGCAACCAAATACCCAACAAATGTATTGTACCATAAAACCAATGAAAGCCTGAAAGCAGACACTTACAGCATATATATATGCCTGACCAGGAGACGGCGCCATAGTGCAGAATAAGACTAGCACCGATACGCCCAGCTGCGCCCCATACACCATCCTGAATTAGGCTGGGCCCTGATGAGGGCAATCAAGACCTGCATACAGAGCATGATTTTACAATCTTCAACATTTTCAGTGTGACAATTCAAAAAGAATTTAGACAAAAGTATACAAGAGACAGTTCAATCTCTTCAATACATGAATCCCTTTTTATATACAGATTTATTTAACTTTAAAATAGTCCTAACTGTTGACTTACAAATCGATTCATTTCTCCCCTCAAGATGTAGTCATGATTATCAACGGTTTTGTACATGGCCTGGAGACTGGTGAGCAATGGCTGATCTGTCATGTGCTAACACCAAAAAAATCTGTAATTATGAATGATTTCATAATCATGCAGTGACCTACTAATAATCTTTTAAAGATCCAATGAAACCGAAGTAGCCACATATCTTTTCTTTCATATTTGTGACTTACATCCGAGTGTAGCAGATTATCGAAAAAAATGTAGGGCGGGAGTTGGCTCTATCTGCTGGTTGTTGATTGGCTTGTGAAATATGGGCGGGACACTCATCTTGCAGTTTTAAAAATAAAATAAATAAATAAATACAAATTATGTTATTAATTACTCACCCTCATGTTGTTCCAAAACCTTAAGACCTTTATTTATCTTCGGAAAACAAATTAAGATTTTTTGTTTTATTAAATCCGAGAGCATTCTGACCCTGCATAGACAGCAACGTAACTACCACGTTCAAGGCCCAGAAAGATAGTAAGAACATTGTTAAAATAGTCCAGTGACTTTTTTCAACAAAATAAAAAAAAAACTAAGAAATTATAAAAGTCATAAATATTAGTACTGTAATTTTACAGCTGAAATGTAAAACAGGATTATTGTTATATTATTTTTAAATAGTATTTTATATTTATAAAATATTTTTAAGAACTGAGGTAACCAAACAGTTGATGACAGCCATTGACCAGAGTATTTTTTTTTCATACTATGTAAGTCAATGGCTAACGTCAACTGTTTGGTTACCCACATTCTTCAAAATATATTCTGCGTTCAGAACAACTCCAGGGTAGAGTAAATGATGACAGAATTTTCATTTTTGGGTAAACCGCACAAAAAGTATTCTCCTAGCTTCGTAAAATTACGGTTGAACCCCTGATGTTAATTGGACTATTTTACCGATGTCCTTGCTACGTTTTGTGCATTGATCGTGTTAATTACATTGCTGTCTATGGGAGGGTAAGAGAGCTCTCAGATTTCATCAAAAATATCTTAATTTTTGTTCCGAAGATGAACGAAAGTCTTACGGGTTTGGAACGACATGAGGGTGAGTAATTAATGACAAAATTGACTTTTTTGGGTGAACTAACCCAAAAAAGAGGTGAGCTTCTTTAAAATGAACCACTTTTAATATGAATGCATCAAACCAAGTCATTCTGAGAATTCCAGTTTACTCATCTTTCCAATAAATAATTAACCCTGATCATAAAATGTAACTGAGCACATTCAGCGATTTCAAGTGGTACTAAACTGGGAAACTGCTGTTTACATGAGTCATCAACAACCTATAAGGAAGTAAAACTACTTGAGAAAAGTCTGTCTAGTCCAAATTGTGTTAACCTCGATCAAGCAGAACACTTTTATTGGGTTTATTTCATAAACTCTCCCTGTAGCGAATTGGTGAAATGACAAAAAGAGCATTCATTTCAATTTAATTCATTTCAAGAAAAACAAAACAATAGATAACACATGCATCACAAGGTGTGTCTAAAAGTCATCCAACGGGTTTTGTAGATTTGCAAATGGGAAGTTTTGGTTCCTTATTATCATGGCCAGATCAAATGCGGAGACTTTCTAAACAGGAACTGTGTAATTATCACTTTAAACTAGTCTTGGCCTACTTATAAAAGGGTCATGAAAAGAAGAATCAAAATGTTCTTGATATTTACACATAGAAGAGGCTACTCTGCAATAAAAAAAACATACTGCAAGTTTCAGAACTCAAAACTAACTCTCAATATTAATTATTGTTTGAAATATGGTAGAATCGTGATGTCACAAATTTGAGATACTGTTCTGTCTGTTAGTGGATGTAAAGAACCTGCATCTCCAGGAAACCTGCATAGATTCTCTAAAGATCTGAGCATTAGAAATGCAGGGCTGGAGTTGATCTTTAATGACGCACATGAGCGACTGAAAGATAATATTTAGTTTGTTCTTCACATTTCACAACGGTCGTTTACTGTCACTGTCTTTTAAGAAATATGTTAACAGTTATGTTTATACTGTTTTGCATTGCAAATGATTGTGTTGTTTCAGTTTTTTCTGACTCACGCTCAAACATTCACAGCTCTATCACAGTGCTTGCCATCTCAAGCATCAAAACACACAACATGCTGTAAAGGAGGCCGTGGAAACTGCGAAATAAATAAAATTAGCCAATCACAGCAATGCATGCTTATTTCCACTTCCATTACCATTTCAAGGTAATGCCCCATCAAATTGAGCGTTTTCCACATAGAGTGATAACGAGGATGGAAAAAGATAATTTTTACAAATATTGGACCTTTTTTGGTGAAAAAAAAACTTTTGCTAAAAAAACTTTATAAACTAACCTCCAGAAGCATAATATAAAAAAGCCTGAAACTGCATTTCATGACCATTTTAACCTCAGCCTGAGAAACAGATTAAACTGCAAAGCACTATGCTTAACAACTGATTTACATGTTCTTGAATACAGGGTTATGAGGACGCACGTCTTAATAACATGGGTATTACAACATAAACATGGTTTATGACGACCCTTCCTGTGTCCTTGTAAAACAAAAGGCTTAAAAACCATACTAAGTGGTGTTTTTTTTTAAATTAAAATTGCCAGTAGTTTTGTGTGAACATAACCAACATCGGTCCTGGAGAGCCACTGTGACAGTCCTGCAGTTTTGATCCAGCTTTGATAAAAACTCACCTTTAGTAACCCTTACACCTTGATTAGCTGGTTCAGGTGTACCTGAATAGAGTTGGAGTGAAACTCTGCAAGGCTGTGGCTTTTCAGGACCAATGTTGGCCAACCCTAGTTTAGGGCAGGGGGATAGAAAATACAGTTTGTACAGTATAAAAACCATTACGCCTAGTATGGAGAATCCCCATAAATCATATGGACAAGTATGTGTGTGTATTTTAGCCAAGTTTCTACAGAAAACAAGAAAGGAAGCATATTTCCCAGCTATGATTCTGCCACTGTAAACATTCAGTCTGTCGATATTGTCAAGAGATACAATTCAACAGGACAGGTTAGTCTAGTATTCGGCCATTTGGAGATTATAGTCACCAGCCAAAAACTAAGAGCTCTTAGCCAAGTAGTATTTCATTTACATGTAAGTTTGCTATCTAACAATGATAAATCATTAGATACTTAGTACTTCAAAAATAATACATGTGCGAAGAACATGGTCATTTTCTATTGCCGCTTTCAAGTTCTCTTAGGAACTTCGTGTATTGTGTGTGTATGTGTTGCAACGCGTAAAGCATTGTTGTTATTCATTATTCTAGATTTCTCCACAAACATGGAACTAACATTTTTGTTTACAAAATGAAGGGCAAAGGATGCGCATTGGGTATGACATTACTGATGATTTGTGTATTTTACCGCCAAACCCTAGCTAATTCTAGGAAATAGAAAAACAATTGTACTTTTTTCGTTATGTATGGACAATACACAGACTTTACAACCACCAACAATTGCTACTTTTTAAGCCCACTTCTTTCGCGAATTCTTTACTGACACAGACAAACACACAACAAATCAGGCCTAAACAAAATCCCAAAACTCCCCACTGGTGACTATGATAATGAACGAAATACAATCATTCATCAGAAATTGATCATCCCCGACTTGGAGGCTGCTACTTCCCGATTCCTGTTGTCTCATGGAAGATAATATTTCCGACAACCCAAATTATATCCCAAGTGTACAAACAATTCAAATTAAACAATGTTAAGGACTCAGTTAAAATGTAGTTGAGATGTCTGTAATTCTTTACTCACTGTACAAGCGACTGCCAGCTAACGTTAGCTGGCTTATCACTCGTATTCCAGCTAATGTCTCCCAGTCGCGTCTTCGCTTTGACTCAGCTAAAATCGCTGTAACAAGGCGTTTTTCTCCCAAAAATGCTTTCTCGAAGCTTACAGCTCATGGATCGGTGTCGGTTTCTCGAGGAACTGGCCTGATTCGCCCCTTGGTGGGAACTACGATCACACGTTTGTTTACAATCCTGCAAGGCCAACGGGAAGTGCGAGAACTGCAATTATCGCGAGATATGTTCGAGTTTCCCCAAAGGTTCGTTGATCCATCTGGAGATTCATGAAGGAACTGCAGGGGCTGATGGCCAAGGCGAAATTAATTAAAATAAACTGAAAAATAAATGTAGAAATGTTTTTTAATAGGATAAGATTTAAAAATGAAAATAAATGTAATATAACAAGTTGATAAAAATTAAATATATAAACAGAAATAAGTGTTTTGAATTATTGTAGGAAAAAAAATGATAAAATAAAATAGGGCATGGGTTAAACATTGCAATAAATGTTTATAATACAATAAGTTAATGAAAATATCAATGCCAAACTAAGTAAAAAAAAATAAAATAAATATTATATATATATATATAAAATAAATAAATGTTAAAAAAACTATAAAAAAATAAAACAAATTCTATGACACTGAAATCTATGACACCACACAATTTTATTTGTTTGATCCATCTAGTCCATATACACAAGGACATAATGATTCACAGCTCAGAATAAGCCGGCGTAAATGGACAAAATGTGTTAGCTATGGATGAGATGATATATATGCTTATTAGAACTAAAAAACAAACTGCATACAACACCTGTACATAAAAGGTACAAGGAGCACTTAAAATTGTCCTCAACCAAATTTAAACAAAGCAAATAAACAGTAACGAGAAACAACTACTAGTTTAAGGACATACTGCTTAATGACTTAAAATGAACATTAAAACAGCCATGGAGTCAAACATACCTACCACAGTTATATCAAGGCAATAAATATGACTGTTTTAAGCAATTTATGCAAATGAAAGCTATTCTAAGACCAAATGTGACTTTACTTTAAAAAGAGCCATTATATCACCATGCCAAACTACAAAGGGATTTTCAATATTAAACCCCACGTTTCTGTTTATTCTAATAATGAAGTCTAAAAACACATTATTTGGGACAGTAATATAGAGGTGAAAGCATTTTAGGACAGTGCGGTTATCCTGCGGCAGTTTTAAACTGCTTTTATGTGCATGACAATTCATCTTTATCAAACCCTGCTGTTCATGTAAAACATTGTTATAGCAGTAAAATACTGTTCAATCACTCTTCTGTTCTGCATAACAACTGATCATATACACACACCGCTCTCACACACTGCTGCCGCTGCCAGTGGCTTCCTCCTCGCCTTTCTTCAGTCTTTTTTTGGCTCTGATCTCGTTCATGGCTTCCTCAATGGAGCGAGTGTCTCTCTTATTGGCCACAGGGACTGTAACAACAAGACAACAAACACGATTCGAAAAATTAAAGGCAAAAGCTGCGTCCTCCGGAGGTCGCATTTGTTGGCCGTATAGAAAGAAATTACAGTATTTTACACCTCACGAGGAATAACGGCCAATTTTACTACCATTACTGTTCTTAAATGTGACCCTGGACCACAAAACCAGTCTTAAGTGTCAATTTTTCAAAATTGAGATTTATACATCATCTAAAAGCTGAATAAATAATTTTCCATTGATGTGTGGTTTGTTAGGATAGGACAAATTTGGTCGAGATACAACTATTTGAAAATCTGGAATCTGAGGGTGCAAAAAAATCTAAATACTGAGAAAATCGCCTTTAAAGTTGTCCAAATGAAGTCCTTAGCAATGCATATTACTAATCAAAAATTAAGTTTTGATATATTTACGGTAGGAAATTTACAAAATATCTTCATGGAACATGATCTTTACTTAATAACCTAATGATTTTTGGCATAAAAGAAAAATCTATAATTTTGACCCATACAATGTATTTTTGGCTATTGCTAAAAATATACCCCAGCGACTTAAGACTGGTTTTGTGGTCCAGGGTCACAAATGAGACGTAGTTATAGCCTTGCAGTGCTTCAACATGTAATGTTGTGCATTGGGCAACTTGAGTCATAACTTCTTTTTTTTTTCCAGATCCCATTTTCACTATCCTGTTGCAAAAAGTAATGCTTTTTTCCTTTGGTGTTTTTCCTGTTTGACTTTATAGTCCTTTATGCTACTAAATATGTATGCCTTTGTTCATTTAATCATTTTTTAGGGGATACAATCTGGACGATTGATCCCCCCCTCCCCCGCATGATTCAGATTTGAAGTGTTTTTACGTGTGCAGTTCCTTTAATTATACTCACCACAGCCATATGCCCGGTTGGCTTGAAGCGTGTGGGCGGCATCTTTAGCAGCAGATGTTCCAATCAGATGGCTGTATTTGTCTCTGTAGTTTGAATTGGGTGACGCAGGCCTCTTCTGAGTGCGACTGGCCTTTTCCATCTCCAGTGCAGCCTGTTCCTGAAGAGTGCAGTGAAACAAATACCCAACTTAAATATGGTGTTCCAAGTAGTAAAATAAAAGATATCCAATTAGGCAGACATGAACTAACAGAAAGCTCTCCTAGATTATGAAATTACTTTCTCTCCTTATCTTACTTCTTTGAGGTTTTGAACAGGTTCTTGCACAGCATTCAGGATCTTACCTTTAGCCGACGTCTCTCCTCGGCTTTCTGCGGGTCCCACTCCTCACCCTTCCGATAAGCCTCCAGTTCTTCATCTGATGGCGCAAACTCCTTCATAACAAAACACACACTCAATCAAACACACTAAGCATTAATGCAGAGAACACCACAGGCCAGAGGAGAACTGGTCCTCTGAATGAGTCTGGCTTCTCCTGTTGTTTTTTCCTCTTTTTCTTGGATCACCTTTTGGCTTGCTCAGTTGGGGTTTAAAAGACCACTGATACTTAGTAACATTATCTATTTGACCACTCTCATGAACGCAAAGACTGATGCGGAAGAGAAGAAATTGTTGAATAAAGTCATTATTTTGGTTTCTTTGCACACAAAAAGTATTCTCGTAACTTCATAAAATTAAGGTTGAACCACTTTTGTCACATGGACTATTTTAACGATGTCCTTGCTAACTTTCTGGGCCTTGAATGTGGTAGTTGCGTTGCTGTCTATACAGGGTCAGAAAGCTCTTGGATTTCATAAAAAATATCTTAATTTGTGTTCCAAAGATGAACAAAGGTCTTACGGGTTTGGAACGACATGAGGGTGAGTAATTAATGACAGAATTTTCATTTTTGAGTGAACTATCCCTTTAAGTATATATCTAATAACTACAAAGAATCAACACTCATTTCATAATTGTTGCATTTTGCAAAATTAACATGGTTATTGTGCTGTTTATTACTGCCAAGCTGCTTTGGAACAATCTGTATTATATAAAGTGCTATATAAATAAATAAGACAACAGAATGAAAACGTTTCATTATACAGAATACTAAACACAAGGAAAGACGTTTACAAAGATCCTTGTGAGAGGTAATTGCACAATACATACACTAACCTTTTTAAACAGCATGACATATCTGCCCTCTTCATCCTCACCGAAAGAAAACGATGATAGTCCAGCCACCTCAGCCACATCATGCCTAAGAGAGATGGAAGCGCTTAGCATGAACTGTATGCTACGCAGGAAAACAGGTAGACCTGCCTAAAACTCATGCCACTGGTTAAACCAGTAGTTGAAAGAGAGCAGTGGCATACTTATAGTCAGGGGTGCACATAAGTTTTTCAGCCTGGTTCTCATAAGAGAACTTGGAGATTTGGTTTGGTCCTCACACTGCACACAGTGTGACATAGTATGACCCATTAAATATAACTATAAAAAATTAATTAATAATAGTGATAAAAATGTCTTAAGTGCCACATGTATGTGAACTGTCAGTGAAAAATTAAATAAATACATTAGCAAAGGTTGTCATTGTTTATGACAATGCTGTTGCTGCAGTAAAGCTCAGCTATTATTGCATGACAGGCATCTGGGTGTAGCTCCCTCCTGTTTTTCCTCATTTCGAAAGTCATTTGCATAAAAGCATGTGTGCTTCAACACAAAGCACGGCCTATTCATGAAGCAATTTAATAAATTACATGTATACAAAGAGATAAACAAACCAACTATGACGTCTAGCGGCTTTTCAACGGCAAACGTGCAGAAACATGACGTATGTACTTGCATATATCATTTCTCAGGCGGTGATTGGCTCTTTTTATTACAGCGTTAGTGTCGCAGAGGGCACTCGGATATTTCTCAAGTTTCACTTGGAAACCTACAAGCACGCCCAGGTTCATTTTCCGGACTGTAAGGAAGTGTATTTGTAGGATTAAAACTTTCTACCTCTAGCTTTCCGTCGGCTTTCTTGGTCGTGAACGGTTGGAGGCTTTTCCATCGAGCTCAAGATCGAGCCCAGGAGGTCCGCCATCTTTGGACTGTCTAATTTTCGCCGGAAGCTCGCTGCATGCTGCATTCTTGAAATGGCATTATGGGTAATGTCGTCCAACCACAGGCTTTCACGATGACGTCATTAAGACGCTCGCTGTATTTTGATTAGTTTGATCTTCAGATATTCATCATATGATCGACATTGAAGCGTCTGAATCTAAATAAATGCCGGTGTACGATTATCAAAGAGCAGTGTCTTTGCATAGAAGTGCAAAATGTTTGCCACAGGTTTTATTACCACGCAGGAATCTATCGTGTTGATTCTTAAAAGCATTCAACATTGTGTAGATTAATAATTGCTAATTAATACCACATGTTATGCATATGAATAATTTTGTGATTCCCATTCAGCAGTATTTTCGTTTATTCTGGAATTGTCTTCTGCTCATTTATTCACATTTTAGAAATTACATTTCTCAGTGGAATATTTGTAAAAGTAGTATCTGATCAATTATCACCTTGTTACTTCTTTCTGGTGCATGTCATATGTAGAACCATTGTTTTAAATGTTAAAACCTGAAATCCACCAGTACAACTACAACGGTTATTAACTAATTAAGCATTATCTAAAACGGTTTCATTTAATGGACTAGTTTTATTCAGACTGCATAATTTGTTTGTTGTTTCTGCATAGCAAGCAAATGAGAAACAACACAATGGTCAGTCTTTTAAATTCTTTACTTGATCCTACAATAGCAGGATTTTAAAAAAAGCTGGGCTGTTTGTTTGATACTGCTCTTCATTAAAAACAAAAAATACTATGCCTTACATACTAGGAAGAAAATATCAAGTTGTGTCTAGTTTCGTAGCTCCTCAGACCAGAAAATAAATTCTCAAATACCTCATTATATCATTAAATACATCACAACAAGCTATATGGTGTGGTAGTGGCCTTTACACACCACATTATCTTTATTATAACACAATTTCCAGTTAATTGTGCTCAACGGTAGCAAACATCACCAAATGTTCACTGCAAAGCAGTCCTTTATGTTAGGACATTGGGATCATAGGTATTTTGCTCACCATGTTGGTAAAAATCAGAATTATTATGAAATAAAGAGAAAATCTTTTATGATTTCACTCAGAATACAGGTTCAGCGTCTTCCTCACAACTACTTCTGTTGACAGGTCAGTACAGCTGTTGACCGTTAAGGAGGAAACATTTGTGTGGAAGGTGGGGGTTACATAAATATAATTTAAAACTAAAAGAGGGATATTGACTGGTGTGAACAATCCCTTCTTTCAATTAAATTTAAGTTTAGCTAGTCAGTCTGAACGTAATATAAGAGTCCAAATTGTCTTCACAGTCACCACCACAGCAAAGGGTCACAACCCAGTTGGTAAAGTGGTTCTGTTACCAACCATCAAAAAACGGAAACTATACTGGTAAACCAGAAGTGGGAGAGAAACACAATGTGGAAATTTGGCCTGTGCTGTCCACCGATGACCTTCAGGGCAAATCTAGGAGTCAAGGAAATAGATCTTGTAGAATTTGTTCATCTGCTCCAGGAAGATGAAGGTGAGAACTGTGTGTGGCCCGAGACGAGCGTAATAAGGAGTAAAACCCTTCCACAGACTGAAGAATCCTTCCTTCCTTATGACCGTCACCAATACATCCTACACAAAGAGAAAGAGAGAGTGAAAAAGAATGAGAGGGAGGGTGGATGTGTCAAAGACATGGGAAAAGAACAGAAAGGGTGGTCTCTACCAAGTGTCATGCTGCTGCACTGCAGTGAATTGCACTGTAAAGTGAGCAGGGATGGACCGACCATACAAAGCAGTGGGACACCCGGTTATATACAAGGGTTTTAAAAGTAAAGTTCTGACATAAGGCCCATTTGAGCTACAGAGGTGGCAATACTTTATACTTACAAGTTATATTTTCAAATAATTCATCCATGACCTACACTTGTCTATTGTCTTTCAAACTCTTTGCTTCCAAAAGTCATGAAAGAGATGAGATCCAATGCCTTGTTTATATTTACATGTTAAGCACAATGAACATCTCTAGAGGTTTTATTGATACTATTAAAGCTACGATATAATACTGAATATAACGTATACTGGGACTAATATTTGCTTGTCTCAATGCTAGGTTTCAACAGTATATTAAACTTAATGGATAGTACGTTATTTTACCGAATATGCACTTTTTAAATATTTCTAGTGAATGCAATCACTTTGATTATAAACTAAAAAAAGCAAAACACTATTGCAACAACAACTTGATATAATTGTAAAAACATGAAAAAATTATAACATTTAAAATGTACAGTATATAATCGGTTATTTCAGTGGAGATAAGATCTGACAGGATATACTATATAGTCTTCGTTAATATTCTGAATTAGATTTTATTTTTATATTTTGTGCTTTCATGTTAATTTTTAAGTTTTAGTATTTTTGTTGTGTTTTATGTCACTTTTATTAGTTTTTGTTGCTTTTAAATGTCTACATAGTTCTTCTTAATTTTTATTTCAGTTTTAGTTATTTAGTGTCAAGTTAAACTAAATGAAAGAGAAATGTTGCCTTAGAAACTAGCTGAAATAAGATTTTATTTCAGTTAACATTTATTTTATTTCAAGTAACAGTCCAGGTAAAACAATCCATGTAACATCAGTGGTTCAACCGTAAATTTTACGAAGCTACGAGAATACTTTTTGTGTGCAAAGAAAATCACGGTTGAGCCACTGATGTCACATGGACTGTTTTACCGATCTCCTTACTACCTTTCTGGGCCTGGGAACATTTAAGTTTCATTGCTGTCTATGCAGGGTCAGAAAGCTCTCAGATTTCATAAAAAATATCTTCATTTGTGTTCTGAAGATGAACGAAGGTCATATGGGTTTGGAACGACATGAGGGCGAGTAATTATAATTTAAAATAATTTTCATTTTTGGGTGAACTATCCCTTTAACTATAACATAACTCTGATCGGTGTCACTGATTACATACTGATTTAGTGACAATGTGCGAGCTATTGCGTCTAACACAATTTTTCAGCAAAAAATGGTGTTTGTGTCACCATTGCCACAAAATCAGAAAAAAAAAGCCCTTTGAAATTATGGTGGGACTGAATATTGCACAACACAACCATAACACTGGCCTGCTGATCACATGTTACTGTTGGTGCACTAATACCTGCAACCAAGCGCAAATCTCATATGGGTTTGGAACGACATGAGGGCGAGTAATTATAATTTAAAATAATTTTCATTTTTGGGTGAACTATCCCTTTAACTATAACATAACTCTGATCGGTGTCACTGATTACATACTGATTTAGTGACAATGTGCGAGCTATTGCGTCTAACACAATTTTTCAGCAAAACAGAATTATGAATATTTCTATGTTTGTGTCACCATTGCCACAAAATCAGAAAAAAAAAGCCCTTTGAAATTATGGTGGGACTGACTATTGCACAACACAACCATAACACTGGCCTGCTGATCACGTTACTGTTGGTGCACTAATACCTGCAACCAAGCGCAAATCAATTGTTTACGGTTTCTCTGGGTTTCCTCCAAGACAAGAGGTTTTACTGAAACTTGATCCATTTCTGACGTTCTCCCTGCATCAGTGTGACTGAAAGATCACAACTCCAGCAGTCTGAGATCAGTTGTTTAAAACAGACAGTGTAACACGGAAAAATAGTGAGAGATTGAGTACTGAATATTGACAATGAGTTGAAAACTTACCAAACCATTTTTGTACTCGGGCTTCCCATCAATCATTCTCATGTTCTGGATTCTTTTGAAAAGAAGGAGATATACGTCAGCATTAAATATTAAACACAATTTCTACAGGAAACAAACAGAATCAGCAAGAAGACTTCTAATGTTTTGCGTCTTCTCTTTTAAGTCAGGTGCTATTTAATGGGTGAATCATTTGTTGTGTGTAATCTTATCTTTTAGTTTGCATCCAGTTGTTCTTAATGAGAACGGGCCTTTACTGTGATATACATTTTGGTCTGTTTTTGGTCACCCTCATTCGCTATCATTTCATATATACTGTAGGATCTCTGTCTTCGAACGGACCCACTTACACTATTGAGTCACACATGAAACAATCACATTCCATTGAGACAAACTGAGGCACCCCTATGCAACCAGCTGCGGTTGATTTAAAGTGTAAACTATCAGATTTGAATTCAGTTTTAATCAGGTTGACTCAGAATTTTCAGATTCGAGTCCTTTCAAAACCTGAGCTAGAAATAAAATTAATGATTAATTCCCTTATAGAATTAACGACTTACAAATGAGTTAATTTCATTACAATACAGACTTGTGTATTCTGTGATATCAGCCACCTTTCACTCTACATACGAGCAGCAGTATTAGTCATTTAAAAAAAAAAAAAAAACGTATTTGTCAACTAGCATGAATACGTAAGATAAGATAAGATACAATATAACAATGAATAATCATGTTCCTTTAGATCAGTTACTGTAGCTTAATAATCAGTCCCAGAATTTACAACCCTAACCAGAAGACAACTGAACAAAACATGCGCGATCAGTTACCTGCACTCATCATTCCACCAATGTTAGATTTTGATATTTTTGGTACCCAAAGCACACTGATGCACAATTTCTGGGCACAATTCAGCAATATTAATGAATTTAGGGAATGTTTATACACCTGGCATCAAGTTAGGTCCTTTAGCTATATACTGTATAAAATTCTGTAAACCACATAGCAAATAAATAGCAACATAAACGATATAGCAAAATCTCGAACGATAGCCACTTTATATCATCATCATAATATTGTCATACCACCCTATTTCATAATAGTCTAGTAATAAATCACAGGAATTAGGAAGTGATTGTACCTGGTCTTAACAATGTCTACTGGCATGGAGGCAGCAGTGGTGACTAGTCCACTGATCATACTGGCACAGAAATGACACAGGATATCATCTCTGAAATATCCTGCACAGAACACAGAGCAAGAGAGATGCTGAAGTTCACTGCAGCACATTTCAGTTTGATCTTTGTTTTACAGCTCACTCATTCAGAAGAACACACATAGAATGATACACCTAATAGGG